GTCATGATAATGATGATGAGGTAGATATTAAGGCAAATATTCAGAGTGTTGCTCAGAGAAATTGAAGATTTTAAGTTATAACATGTCCTGAAGGATTTTGTCATAAAGATTAGTTCCTGAATAGACAACTGTTTGTTTTCCAGAGTTATTGCAAACTTGGTTTACATAATTTTTGTTGGGAAGCATTTCTGGTGTTGTATCCATGAATACTACCTGCATATTGAAAATGATTTTGGAAGGGATTCACCTTTGTGCTGTAGATACACAACCTTTAAATCATTGTGTTGATACACGTTTACTGTAAGAATGTCTAGTATGTTAAGCAGATGGAGGGCGTTATCTGTTTGGTTATGAAATGTATCAATAACAGTGGGGCAAAAATCCATCATGGTTGTTCTAAAGTGAGCAATCAATAATTGGAAAGAAGATACACATGTAAAATGCATCTTAATTCTGCTCTTCTTTGTTCACCAGTGTTTAGTTGGCAGTGTGGCTGTCACTTGGGATTGAGTTTGACAGAGTATTCTAAGGTTAGTCACAATTATTCTCTTGAGGGAAATGGTAAGTTGGCACAACTCTTGCATCCCCAGCGCCTGGATAAGTCATGTAAAATACCATCTTTCTTTTGTTATATTTTGAACCTATCAATACCTGGCTAGTTAATGGGTTGATAAAGGATTATGTTAAATGGGAAGACAGTATTAAAAGGAAAAATGGCAATTTTGCAAATTCAGAAAAGTTTCCCTCAAAAACTAATAGAACTCCTTAAAAAGGTTTTTTGTAAGTAAATAGTGATTGAAATAAAATATTTTGAAGGATGTGATCTTTTGGCTGGGTTGAGTGAAGAGTACTGTATGTGGCAGTGGGGGCAGATTGTGTGCCATTGGCAATGATGACACAGTCACTACATATTTAGTTTGCTTTCTCAACCTGCTGAACAGAGTACAAATATGTAATGATAATCATTTACTCCTTGGTGCCAACTGTGGAGAAGATCATCCATTCATTAAATCTTACTCAAATCACCTGAGGGAAGAAATGGAACAGATTGAAGGGAAGACATTGACCACTGAAAGAGGAGAGCAGGTTGTGTTCAAATTTGAACTGATACCATCTGACATGAAATGGATGTCATCCCACTACATTTAACCTTTTGCCAGTGTTAATCAAACAAACAAGGGAACCATTGGTGGTTCATTGGTGGCCCTAAAGCAACATGGTAACCACAGCTGTACACCGAGAGACTGGCCCTTGCAGAGAAAGTGGAAAAGTCAAAGAAAAGACAAAATCCCATGGGCAAACAAAGAAGTCATATTACCAAATTTATTGCTCAAAACAAGTTGAGACAAGACTTTGGTCCTCTGCTGGGGGTATTGGGTATCAATTCAATGCAGGGTAGAGAGGCAAAGGATGTTAAGCTGGCTTATTAGTGGAAAACAAATGCAATGCCAAAAAGAGCTTAAGGTAGTGGACAGTGTTCAGACACAAATTTGTCCACATGGTGTGCCTGAGAGAAAGGGACCCCAACAGCATTAATCATTATATCAAGAAGAGGAATATCAGCGATTCTTACATTCATAGGAGAGTTTGAGATTGTGATCACAGGTTTTGCTATTGTGGACTTTCATGTAGTCTTAATTTCATGTAATCTTTCATGTAGGTTATTTAACCTTTCTTCCATTATGGTTCAGTATTTAAGCAAAGTGTCACTCAATTTCCACCAACATAACATTAAACTTGATGACACAATTATTTCTACACATGTACGATTCAAAAAGACACTTGGTAGTTTATTTCAATATTTAACACAGCCCAAGTATGTGTAAAAAGTCAAGGAAAAAAAGTCAAGTCAAGTATGTCCACATATGATTAAAACCAATGAAACTTATTAAACATACACCTTTACATCTGTTTGTTCAGTGCTATGGGATGCCACTCACATTCCAGTATCCTTAATGATATTTAATGCTGAGAACTTCACCACCTAACTGTATGCTATCAGAGGAGGAAACTTCAGAGGATCCCCTCTCTTACTGCAGTAAAGGTCGACCTTCAATAAAAATTTTGCCATACATATTGTGCGGCTTTTCTTTTTACTGCAGGAATTTAATATGGACCAAATGTAAGTAGGGCAGGGAAGAAGCTTACCCTAGATCCAGTTAAATGGAAAAGATCACAGAAACTGCTGTGGATTACTGCAAAGCCATTGACAATTATCTCTGTACAGAAAGATGGCTGAACAGGCATGCACTAATTAGTATATAATAAAACTGCTGTTTGTTTTGTTTCAAAACTTTTATTGTTGACTTCTTGTTGACTTTGATTTCTACTTTCAAATAAGCAAGGTTATGATGTGAATAAATGATTTGGGTTGTTGCCAGACTTGAAATTTGTGAGTGTGGTTTGAAAGACCTTCAAATTATTGACAGATGCTTGCATAATATGATAATTAACCATTGTCTGTTGAAGCATTTTTGGTTTTCAGATGAATTTTCATCTTTGTCGTGGCCAATTCCCATAACTTGACAAGTTCTGCACATAATCAAATCATCATCAGTGATGTGAAATGAAACTTTTTATGTTCCAATACATACACACCGATCAGAACACTGAATCAGATGTTAACTTAAATGTTTCCTCCTTTAAAAGCTCAACCGCTAGAAATTGGCAACCTTAATTCTCAAACTATTTTTTTTCCTATTTAATACTCATGTAATGTAATAGTTACTATGATTATTTTTCATTTAAATCTTATTCTTACTTTATTATATCTTTTGAATAACTTTTTTCTTAACTGATTTATTTTTTCAACACAATCTAAAATGATTTGATGATCAATAAATTATATCCTTTTTATCAAATGCAACCTCATTTCACTTTTATAATTAACCTTTGTTTTATTAGTGCTCCAAAAGAAGTATAGAGTCAACAGATTTCATTAACTTAGTTATACCCTGAAGCAAAAGTAAGAAATGTTTACTTTTGTGATCTCCTTAGGTGAAAATGAATAAGCAAAAGCAAAGGTAAACCTTGTAAGTTTTTCTCTATGTTAATCAACTTTGGGGAGAGCAGAAAATGTTTTTCCATGTACTCACTGACACTTAAGAAAATGTTTGTTGGTTATTGTGCAAATATCATTGCATCCTAACAACAGTCTGATCACACAAGCATTGTGATGCCCAGTATATTTTATTACTTTTATCAAGATTCTCCTGTCAATTACAAAGCTTAGTGCAAAATTAAGTCAAGTCCAATTTTGGAAACCAGTCAGAACAAACTGTCCACAGTCTAACAAAAACTGGACAGCAGCATCAAGCAAAATTACATTATTCTATGATGATGTACTTCTGCATATTTCAATCATCGTGTTTACATTTGTAACTGTTTACAAAACATTGGATTTCAAGTTGAAAGCATTTTGTGTGAACAATGTGTACTTCTTGGACAGCTCTTATCAGAAAAACTTCAAATTTCAATCATGGTTTTTACTCCAAAATTCAATAAATTTAAATAACTATGCCAAAGGATGCTTCTGAGGCACTGAGTATACCCCTCATAGGAGGTGGCAATTTTTCCAGCAGTTAGGCAGTCATGACAAATAGAAACATACCTTAAATGACTTCATATCATCTGTAGTCAAATTTTCCAAGCTTCTTTCAGAGGAAATTTTTTGAAGGTTGATGAGAATGCTACTAATGTAAACCAATGTGGTAAATCAAGGATTCAGTTTCCTCACAAATTCATTTAACCCAGCCAAAAGACCACATCCATCAGATTATTTTATTTCAATTACTATTTACTTACTTTACCTATACAAGACTTTTACAGGGAGTTCTGTTAGTTTTTGAGGGAAACCTTTCGGGATTTGCCAATTGCCATTTTTCCTTTCAGTACTGTCTTCCCACTTAACATAATCCTCTATCATCTAAGCTACTCCCCAGGTATTTAGAGGTTCACAATACGGCAAAAGAAAGATGGTGTTTTACATGACTTGTTCAGACACTGGAGATGCAAGAGTTGTGCCTACTCACTCATCATTTCCCTCAAGAGAATTATTGTGATTAACCATGGAATATACTCTGTCAATCTCAATCCCAAGTGACAACCACACTGCCAACTAAACACTGGTTAACAAATAGGAGGAGAAGATGCATTTCACCTGTGCATTTCTTCAGTAATTATTGATCGATCACTTTAGAACAAATGTGAGGAAGTTTTGCCCCACTGTTATTGGTACATTGCATAAACAAACAGATAGCACCTTCCATCTTCTCAGCATTATAGACATTCTAACAGTAAATAATATGTATTAACACAATGTTTCAGAGTTTCTGCATATATGGCACAAAGGCCTGCTTAAGTGAATCCATTCCAAAACCATTTTCAATATGCAAGCAGCATTCATGGATACAACACCAGATATGCTCCCAACAAATTTATGTAAACCTTGAGTGTGCAATAACTCTGGAAAACCAACAATTGCTCAGAAAATGAAAGCTGACATTGATGAAATAATAGAGAATCTTGATAAGGGAACTTGGAAGTCATCACTGAAAGTCCCACTCTGAAACCAGAAGTGCCAGCACCCATGCAAGCAGAAATGGAAAAGTTTTAATGAAAACAAAGCCTGTTTTTTCTGAGCATGGTACCCCATATGTTGACCAACACATGTTGCCCAGTCGCAAAATCACAATCCAAACTTAGCAGCTATTAAGCTCCCTGGCTCTTCATTTGAACTATTTCTCAGTGTTCTAAGAATTTTGTATTTCAAAATTTTAATGTACAATAGCATATGAAGTATTACACATTATATGCATAAAAAATGGTCACTTCACCAGAAACTGATACCAATAATTTCAAACCTTTAATACAACTACCAGCCAGAAAAGGAAACAAAAATTTGCTTCATACAAAATTTAGGAGGCTATTCATGAAAGTTGGTAAATTAAAATAACTAAGTGAAAAAAAACTTTGTAAAAGTGAACAAAGAGAACTAGATGATGTGTGCCATACATGGAAAACAGACAATTGCTGAGAAAATGAAAGCTGACCTTGATGAAATGAAAGAGAATGCTGATGAGGAACTTCAGGTTCCTGAGAAGTACTTGGAAGTCTTTACTGAAAGTCCCACCACAAAACCAGAGGTGCCAGCCCCCACACAAGCAGAAATGGAAAAAAAGTGAAAAAAAACTTTGTAAAAGTGAACAAAGAGAATTAGATGCTGTGTGTCATACAATTTGTCAGTCATGCATATGCTCCTTGGAGATTTAAAAGGAGGATATGGTTGTAGTAATGATAAACAAATTTAATGAAAATTAGACACCAATGCTTAGAGAAAAACACTGTCAGGGCTATGTAAATAGATTTTAAATTGATACTTTGAACTAGTTTTTATCCTACCAAATAATTCTTTTTATTGATCTTGAAAACCTGATATTTACATGTCTGCAATGAAGATAAAGTCATACCAAGACTTGTCTCTGTGTAGAAATTCCAGACTGTATTTTGATTTTTTCTTTCATAATTTTAGCTTTTATCAATTCTTAATTTCTTATTTGTAATGGGTAATGATATAATTGTACAAGGATGACATATATGAATAGCACCTTATGCAAAAATTTGCCACTCTCATGCTGACAAATACTAAGAAGTTCAACACATCTCCCCAGCCCTGCAGGGACTAGGTTTGTCCTATTTTAAGAAACAGCTACTAGTATGCAATGCCTCACAGTTGCATAATGCTATGAACAGCCTTGAGCCCTCATATAACAAACATTTTGCTTCCAAATTCAAACATTTTCTTTAAGGAGGCATACTTTGCTTTGACTATTTAGGTCACCTCTCAAATGGGTTATAAAGCCCAGTTGTTAGTGTATAATCCCTTTTTTTTGCCATCTTTTTATCCCCTAAATTTCTGTTATTCCCATAAATTCCACGGTAAACCACAAGGAATATCTATAATATATATATATATGTATACATATATATTAAATATGTATAACAATAGGCATATCCATGTCTATTATTCAAATCTGCAAAATAGGCATCATGGTAAATTTCAATGCTCTGTTCAATTGTTACACAGTAGAAAAGTGATCATTGCGTTTGTTGAGTAATGATAATTCAGGTTGGTGGATGATAAGTAATTTTTCTGTGAGGTAAAGGTTGCATCTTTTGCTACTGCTGCAGCAGGATGACCTTAATGAAAGGATGCACCACGAAATAAAGTGGTCAATGTTATTTTCTTTAAGGGTCCAGATATGTTTGCTGAGTTCGGTAGAGTTTCTGTGTTTTGTGTGTTAGAATGATGCAGTGTGGTTTCTGTACCTAGTCTCGAAGTCGTTTTCTGTGAGTCCAATGTATGTCTCAGTGGTGCTGTTGTCCTTACGTGTGACCATGGCTTGGTAGATTGGTGATGACTGGTGGCAGTTTCTGTTAAGCGGGCATGTGATCTTCTGTTGGTAGCTGCAAGTTTTGGTGTCTTTTGTGTTAGTGTTATCTGTGGTGTCATTGATGTGTTTGGATGAATTCAAAATGCATTAGTTGTGGTTGTCAATGATCTGTTTAGTGTTATTCATGCAGCTGTAACTGATTTTGATTGTGTTACAATTAAAGATTCTTCTAAGTTTGAGGTCTTTCAGGATGTGCTTGTCTACTAGGGAAAAGAATCGGTGTCTGATATTGGTGCGTACATTTTTACAGAATGGGGGTTGTACCAGAGTATGTTGTTTCGTTGTCGGCTTTTTTGTTTGTTAGTTGTGGGTGGTTCATAGAGTAGAGTGCACCAGTATCTGCATTCTTTGAGTGCTTATTGATATGGAGCCGCCCCTCCATATCAAAAAGCATTCATTGGGTGCTTGTTGATATGGAGGGGCGGCTCCATATCAAAAGGCACTCAACAAATGCAGATACCGGTCCACTCTTCGTTATGAACCACTCACAACTAACAAACGAAAAGACAGACAACGGAACAACATACTCTGGTACAACCCCCCATTCAGCAAAAATGTAAGCACCAATAT